GACCAGAAAATGGTGGCAGAAGGGGCTGACCCTACATTCCAGGGAGGGGAAAGGGAGCTGGTATCTGGGCCTGAGCTGGTAGCGCCCTTTCCTTGGGCTCACTCCTCACTCCTGCCATGCCACGCTCCATGGTGTCGCGCTGCTGCAGGCTGCCAGCTGCCTCTGTCCCTCCTGCAGGCTGCCACGGTGCGGAGGAAGCAGTCGGGGGTGGGGGCAGGCAGCCTGGCAGAGACAGAGGAGAGAGGAATGAGTCTCAGGTGGGGCTGAACTGCAGGAGTCGCCCAGGAGCTGGCTGACGGGGGCGAGGGTGGGTATTGCCTGCGGGGGCCCCTGAGCCATGGGCCTAGGGCACTGGAAGGAAAGGAGGGTGGCTGCAGCAGGAGTGTTGGAGGCTACGGTGACCCTGCCCAGCTGGGAGGAGGCCATTGGCGGCCTGGCGGGGGCAGGGTGAGAGCCCTCGGCCATGGGAGTGCCAGTCACACAGGCTGGGGGCTCGGGGAGTGCTGCCGTTCACCCTGGAACTGCTCATCTCCCAGTACAGTGCCCGGAGCCTGTGCTGCCCTGTCCTTGCCCAGGCCAGATTCCTCAGCTCCTTGGGTCTGGACGCTGGCCTGGGAGAGAGGAGGAGCTCACTGGCCACAGTGGCTCAGGCTGGCTGGTCTCCTGACGGCTCCGTGCCACCCTCGGGCTATGCAGCCAGTGGCGATGGGAGGCGTGACAGGCTCCCTGCCAGCGTGGGGGAGATCGCGCCAAAGATCCGTCACCACGGCCTGCCTGAGACTGGGACCCTCGTTCTACTGTGCCTGCCTCCTACACCAGATGCCCTGGGCCCAGGTGGCCTGTGAGTAGGGTTGCCAGGCTTGGCTTGACTTGCAGACACCTGCGTGCTAGTCCTGCCCTTCTCCCAAGCTGCGCAGCCTCTGCTGAGCACCCTGTCATTGCTGGGCCCAGACTCTCTGCCCTGAAAGCCAGGAAGCAGCAGCAGAGTCAGGCCACGTCTCCCTGCCAAGCCCCCTCTGGCTGGCGCTTACTCTGCTGTGAGGGGGACGTTGCAGAGTCCCAGCCTGGCTCTCCTCATGCTGCATCCTCCCCTTCTGCGACCTTGTCTTGCAGCTAAACCAGAGCTGTCCCTGGACCCTCCAGCTACTCCTAGTACCAACTTCATCCCCACCTCGCCACCCTCCCCGGTAAGAGCCACACTGTCGGCTGGGCCCTGAGAGCACCAGCCTTCTGCCACACGCTGGGCTTACACATGGGCTCCGGCATGCAGCCGCGCCACTGAGCTCTCCCGCCACTCCTGCTGCCTCTGTCCGAACCATGGGTAGAGCTGGATAAGCAGAGAGTGTCAGGGCAGGCACAAGGAGCATGGCAGAGCTGGGGGAGGTGTGGCTGGATGAGCAGGGGTATGTCAGGGCAGAAGGGAGGGGCACGGGGCTGGATGAACGGGGCGCGCCAGGGCAGCAGCGGGCTGTGGCAGTGCGAGGGGCACGGGGCTGGGTGAACGGGGCGCGCCAGGGCAGCAGCGGGCTGTGGCAGTGCGAGGGGCACGGGGCTGGGTGAACGGGGCGCGCCAGGGCAGCAGCGGGCTGTGGCAGTGCGAGGGGCACGGGGCTGGGTGAACGGGGCGCGCCAGGGCAGCAGCGGGCTGTGGCAGTGCGAGGGGCACGGGGCTGGGTGAACGGGGCGCGCCAGGGCAGCAGCGGGCTGTGGCAGTGCGAGGGGCACGGGGCTGGGTGAACGGGGCGCGCCAGGGCAGCAGCGGGCTGTGGCAGTGCGAGGGGCACGGGGCTGGGTGAACGGGGCGCGCCAGGGCAGCAGCGGGCTGTGGCAGTGCGAGGGGCACGGGGCTGGGTGAACGGGGCGCGCCAGGGCAGCAGCGGGCTGTGGCAGTGCGAGGGGCACGGGGCTGGGTGAACGGGGCGCGCCAGGGCAGCAGCGGGCTGTGGCAGTGCGAGGGGCACGGGGCTGGGTGAACGGGGCGCGCCAGGGCAGCAGCGGGCTGTGGCAGTGCGAGGGGCACGGGGCTGGGTGAACGGGGCGCGCCAGGGCAGCAGCGGGCTGTGGCAGTGCGAGGGGCACGGGGCTGGGTGAACGGGGCGCGCCAGGGCAGCAGCGGGCTGTGGCAGTGCGAGGGGCACGGGGCTGGGTGAACGGGGCGCGCCAGGGCAGCAGCGGGCTGTGGCAGTGCGAGGGGCACGGGGCTGGGTGAACGGGGCGCGCCAGGGCAGCAGCGGGCTGTGGCAGTGCGAGGGGCACGGGGCTGGGTGAACGGGGCGCGCCAGGGCAGCAGCGGACTCTGGCAGTGCGAGGGGCACGGGTCTGGATGAACGGGGTGCAGAGCTAGGTGGGGGCACTTGGGATGGTATTTTACATCCTGCATTTCCTCAGGTTAAAAACAGTCTGGTTTCCCTCTGCCTGGCTCAGGGCTGACGCAGGGTCCCGTGACCCCCGGCAGGGGCCATCTCACATGGTGCTGCTGCCTGTGGAGGGCTGCCCCATAGCACCAGTCATGCAGGACCCCACAGCCAGCCTGACACGGTCAGCTTTCAGGCAGTGGGGCGACGGGGCCTGTCCCTTGTGCTGTGCCAGGAGCCTTGGGTCTCAGCATGTTGCTGCAGCCCGGTGAGGAGATGGGGCCCTTGCTCTTCCTCATCCTTTTCTCAGAGTAGGTCTAGTCTGAGCCTCAGCCCTGTGGCCAGCGCCCAGCTCTCCCTGTGTGCTAGAGTCAAGTGGCTATAGTGTCCTGTGGGCGTGGGGAAGGCCTGGGCCCCTCCTCACTCCCAGGCTCGGGGGTCGTGGCCTGAGCCATTTGCCTGGGGAGCCCAGAGGGCAAACTCCTTCTCTCCGGGTTCTCTCTTTGCAGGATGGGGGCCTTGCCGAAGTCCCCTCTGGCTTCCTGTCCCACACGGCCCATCTGAGTCCGGGGCTGTCTCCTGGCTCCAGCCCCTCCCAGTCTGCCCCCATCACACGGACTGTGGTGCAGCCGGGATCCCTGCTTGTCCCCAAGAGGGAGCAGCTCTCCCCCCCAACGGCCTGTGGTGAGCAGCACAGTGACCCCCCCAGAGAGAGCAAAGGCCCCTGCAGGGGATGTGGGCGCAGCAGCGTTTCAGTGGGGGGAAATGTACCCAGAGAAGGCTCCCCTCTGGGTCTCCACAGCCAGAACTGAGCAGGCTGCTGGTGCTGTCCCCTGAGCCCTGGCCCTTATTAACCTAGGACAGGGCAGGGTTAGCAGAGACTAGGCAGGTGGGTGAGAAAAACAGAGAGACCCAGAAAAGCCAGAACACCGAGTCACACCAGGGACATGAGACCCAAGCCAGCCTTGCTGCCCTACTGCTGCAGAACCATACGGAGCCCTTGAATCAGCTTGGCAGGGTCCTGGCGGGTAGTCCCACACAGGTGCAGTGGTCAGTGCCGACCCATGCCCAGTTCTTCTCCCCCCTCCCCCTCCCAGGAAGATGAAGGAGAGAGAAATCTGGTGCTAATCAGTCGCCAGAAGAGCAAACCAGTGAAGTTGGTTGGAATTTTTTTCTCAATGTTTTTTCTGCAAAAAAGTGTCTTTCACCAGATGAAAAATATTTGCAGTAACACTTCATTCTGCTTGTGATCTGTTTGTACAATGAAAAAAAAGAAGAAACCACAATTATTTTCTGTAAAAATGTCAATTTTGGGTTAACATTTTTGGATTTTGGTAAAAAGTAATCATGTTTACTTTTCAACAACCAAAATGTTTGCCAGACATGTTTTAGCTGACCTTTTTCCTGGACATTTTTTAAAGAAAATAAATGAAAACAATTCAAAATTTCCCAGGGCACATAACTGGCAGTTTTTGAGTGGCTCTGGAATTGGTGAGGATCCCTGTCCCCTGTCCCTCCTCCTGGGGAACCTGTGCCCATATCAGGTCACCCCTTGCAGTGAGACTAGAAAGGGGCAATGGCCGGTACTAGCAGTACCTCTTCTGGTTAGTGTAGGGCTTATGTGTGTGTGTGTGGGGGGGGGGTGTCTCTCCTGGCTCTACTACTGACCTGCTATGCGACCTTGGGCAAATCATTTAACTTGGCTACTGAGAATAACTCATATCCGCCTCCCAGAGAGCTTGAGAAGAGTCAGTAAAAGCAGAGAGTGAAAGTACTACTGATAGGTGCAGTGCTGTCAAAGACAAGGTCTGTTGGGATCAGAAAGGAGTGCGGGGAGATTTGACAGAGTTATGGAGAATGGAATCAATTTTCTCTCTCACGTGCATGCATGTGAAATGTGGGAACACAGGGATGCTTGGTGAACCCAGGAGATACCACAGAATGACTCCCTTGCTTTGGATATAGTGTTTAGGACTTTATGGAGTCCCATGGCTTAGTGAGAGTCAGCAGTGATTAGACTATGATCTGAGTGAAGCCAGGCTCAGCAAGGACAGTGTTTGGGATCAGTGTCAAAGGCCATCATCCCCATGCTCCAGGGCACAGGCTGTTCTACCACTGCATGGTCAGGAAGGAAGGCCCCCAAGCTGAAACTTGGTCAGTGTAGTGCATTATGGGGAGGTGACTCCTTTCCCTAAAGCCTCTGGCACAAGCCAATCTGTGCCCAGCTTCAGCCTAGTGGGGTTCCAGTCTGCTCCAGTCGCCTGCCCTCTGTCTCTGTGGTGGAGTGGGCCAGGACCCTTCAGTCGTTCAGACTGGGACACCTTGGCTATGTCTGTCTACACGCGCGGCTACTTGCACCAGAAATATGCAAATGAGGCTAAGCGTGGAATATTGCCGAGCCTCATTTGCATACCTAATGACCCGCCATTTTTACAGAAGAGGCTCTTAGAATAATAGAATCATAGAACCATAGAGTGGGAAGAGACCTCAGGAGTCATTAAGTCCAGTCCCCTGCCCGAGGCAGCACCACTCCCAACTAAATCAACCCGGCCAGGGCTTTGTCAAGCCGAGACTTAAACACCTCTAGGGATGGAGACTCCACTACTTCCCTAGGTAACCCATTCCAGTGTTTCACCACTCTCCTAGGGAAACAGTTTTTCCTAATATCCAACCTGGCTCTCTCCCACCACAACTTGAGCCCATTGCTCCTTGTTCTCCCATCTGTCACTACGGTGACCAGCCTCTCTCCATCCTCTTTGGAAGCTCCCTTCAGGAAGTTGAAGGCTGCTATCAAATGCCCCCTCACTCTTCTCTTCTGCAGACTAAATAGACCCAACTCCCTCAACCTCGCCTCATAGGTCATGTGCTCCAGCCCCCTCATCATTTTGGTTGCCCTCCGCTGGACCCTCTCCAATGCGTCCACATCCTTTTTGTAGTGGGGGGCTCAGAACTGGACATAATACTCCAGATGTGGCCACACCAGAGCGGAATAACGGGGAATAATGGCATCTCTGGATCTGCTGGGAATGCTCCTCCTAATGCAACCTAATACGCCATTAGCCTTCTCGGCTACAAGGGCACACTGCTGCCTCATGTCCAGCTTCTCATCCACTGTAATCCCCAGATCCTTTTCGGCAGAACTGCCATTCGGTCACCAGCCTGTAACAATGCTTGGGATTCTTCCGTCCCAAGTGCAGGACTCTGCACTTGTCCTTGTTGAACCTCATCAGATTAGAGGCCCAATCCTCCAATTTGTCTAAGTCACTCTGGACCCTATCTCTGCCCTCCGGCGTATCTACCTCTCCCCCCAGCTTAGTGTCATCTGCAAACTTGCTGAGAGTGCAATCCATCCCCTCAGCCAGGTCATTAATAAAGATATTGAACAAAACCGGTTATTTTCAGGAATAACGGCATTGCGCAAGAGTGGGATTTTTGCGCAAGAAGGGGCAGTGTAGACAGCTCCTTCTGGTGCAAGAGTCTCTTCTGTGAAAATGGTGGCTCATTTGGTATGCAAATGAGGCTAGGCGATATCTACGCTCAGCCTCATTTGCATATTTCTGGCGCAAGAAGCTGCGAGTGTACACATAGCCCGTGTGTGCGAGGCTCACAGGACCCAGCCTGAGCATCCCACTGCCTCCAGTCCCAGCCACTGCACTGGGGGCAGGTCCAGGAGGGAATTGCTGCTGCCCACTCAGTCCCTCCCACACACACTCTCATTTTATCTTCCAGCCAGTGACTGGCCAAAGTCTGGGCAAGTCTCCCCGGTGCCGGCTGTGGGGCTGACTGCTGAGATCTCGCCGCCTCACTCCGCCCCCAGCCGGGGCAGGCCGCCTGAGTCCAACAAGGTACGGAACGGTCCAGGGCTCCCCAGGGGGGCAGCGCCTCCCTGTGGGATGTCTCCTCTCTGCCCACCCTCTGCTCTGGGCACAGCTGCCTCCTCCATGTCCCACCTTGTGCCCCCATTGCATTATATCCACTCCCCCCTGCTGGGGCATGAGTGGGTCTGTCCTGGCCCTGGCTCAGGTGGGGGTGCTGGGACTGTGCCCCCCCCCCGGAGGGGTGCCTGACCCTGCCCTGCCCTGCAGACGGAGAGCCGCCGCATTATCCACATCTCTGCAGAGCAGAAGAGACGCTTCAACATCAAGCTGGGCTTTGACACCCTGCATGGGCTGGTGAGCACCCTGAGTGCCCAGCCCAGCATCAAGGTAAGTGAGCGGGGAGCAAACCCAAAGCAGGTGCTGAGCTCAGGCCTAGGCAGCTCGCCGGGGACACCAAACCTCGATGCACCACGATGCCCCAGCCTCCACAGAGTCCCTTGGGCTGGTAGCGGGAGCACCAGGCTTGGGCTGCATCAGTCACCCAGCAGCACTAGGCCCCCAGCCAACTGCCGCTTAGCCCCTTTCCCCAGCGACAGGCTGTCCTGCCTGCACTGGCCTCAGTCTGGGAGCCCCTGCAGCAGGCCTGGCACAGGCGATATCCCCTGGCTCCCATGGCAGGCCCATCCCCCGGCTGAGGAGCTCTGTCCGCCTGGGTGGCAGAGCAGTGGGATGGTGTCCCTCAGCTCCCTCATCTGGCACCACAGGTCAGCAAGGCCACCACGCTGCAGAAGACGGCGGAGTACATCGGCAAGCTGCAGCAGGAGAGGGCTGCCCTGCAGGACGAGGCACAGCGGCTGCGGGGGCAGATCGAGGAGCTCAATGCGGCCATCAAGTAGGGGGGGGCAGGGCAGGGCAAAGGGTAACCACTCAGCAGGGGGTGGCACTTCCCATATCAGGGGCCTCAGTCCCCCAGCATGGGGTTCCACCCCAGAAGCAGCTGCACATCCCCAGGTGGGAGACGGTTTTCTGTTCTGTTTGTAATGTGCTGGGGGAGATGGGCAGTGGCTAAGCAACGCAGGGTTATGAATAATGGAGGCGAGGCACATTGCCCCCTTCCTTGCAGTGCCTAACCTGCCACTGGGGGTGGATTGGACCTTGTGAGCACAACTCCCCAGCCATCCCCAGCTCATCACAAATCAGTCACTCGGGCTCCACGTAGCCTGGCTGGGGCTTGTGAATGGGCTTGGTGCTGCCTCTGCTACAGCCAAGGGAGCAAAGCCCTGCAGAAAGTGGCAGAATGTGGGACCCACACACAGGTCTTGGGAAGGGAGGAGGCTCATGCCCCTGAAGAGAGCTGAGGAGCCTGTTCAGCCCTTCCCCATGGGCCCTAGATGCTGGGGCAGGACAAGAGCAGGGTGCTGTGCACATGCAGGAACAGGATGGGGAGCCAGTTTCACCCAGATACAAGCATTAGTCCCCCACCCGTGGCAATCTCCTCTCCCATGCCAAGTGCAGGGTGGCACCAAGCACCTATCAGTGAGCCTGCCATCACTATGGGCAGCCCTTGGCAGGAAAGTGGGCATGGGGAGGTGGGCAGGAGACCCCTGCTGCCCCAACAGTGGGATGCAGAAGTGGGTTTTCCCCTGGTGACCATCAGCCATGGAATCACTAAGCCCTGGTCATCAGCTTGGCATGCCTAGGGAATGGTGACCACCCATCACTCCCTGACGCTGCATCCCGCCTGACAAGGCCGGGGCATGGCAGGGTCTGAGGGCGGCTGGAGAGCCAGGTGAGATGTTGACTTGTCTCCCCAGTGCTAACCCCTCAGTGTGTGCCTGGCACTCAAATGCCACCTTCTTGTGCCCCTGCAGCTTTTGCCAGCAGCAGCTGCCTGCCACAGGGGTGCCCATCACCCGCCAGCGCTTCGACCAGATGCGCAACATGTTTGACGAGTACGTCCGGTCCTGCACGCTGCACAACTGGAAGTTCTGGGTTGTATCCTTTGGAGATGGCCTCCCACCCCACTTCCCCTGGCCACAATATGGGGTCCCTTTAGCTTCCTGGGGCTCCAAGGAGGGCCAAAGATGGACACCTCACAGCCCCTCTTGCAGGGAGACGCCAGGGCTCCAGTCCCCATGCCTGCTGGGAAATGGCTCTGGACCAGCCCTGCTCACGCATCTGGCCCCCGATACCAGCCTGCTTCCTCTGGAGCCAGCTGCAGCTTTCCAAGACTTTGAAGCCCCTCCCCCGTGCTAGTCTCCAGATCTCCTCTGTACCCTGGTGACATCCCCCAGGGTCCCTTCATACTCCAACCCAGGGTTGTGCCTTGCACTCTTGGTAGGGGAAAACAGCCCTCTAGGCGCTGCTCATGCAGCCAGTAGAATGAGCAGGCTTACCCAGCAGTTATACAAATGCTCTTCCAGCCATTCATGAACTGTGTACAGGGTGACAGCCTGCAAATCCCCCAGCCCCAGCCTTCCATCTCACACTGCTCAAGAGCCTCTTGACTTGGCTAGAACCATGGAGCTGGAAGAGACCTCAGGAGTCATCAAGTCCAGCCCCCTGCCCGAGGCAGCACCAATCCCAACTAAATCAACCCGGCCAGGGCTTTGTCAAGCCGAGACTTAAACACCTCTAGGGATGGAGACTCCACCCCTCCCTAGGGAACCCAGCCCAGTGCTTCACCCCCCTCCTAGTGAAATAGTTTTTCCTAATATCCAAAACTAGAGCTCTCCCACTGTAACTTGAGCCCATTGCTCCTTGTTCTGCCATCTGCCACCCCTGAGAACAGCCTCTCTCCGTCCTCTTTGGAATTTCCCTTCAGGAAGTTGAAGGCTGCTACCAAATTCCCCCTCACTCTGCAGACTAAACAAACCCAAATCCTTCAGTCTCTCCTCATAGGTCCAGCTCCTTATTTTGGTTGCCCTCTGCTGGACCCTCTCCAATGCGTCCACATCCTTTCTATAGTGGTGGGCCCAGAACTGGACACAATACTCCAGATGTGGCCTCACCAGAGCCAAATAAAGAGAAATAATCACATTTCTGGATCTGCTGCCAATGCTCCTCCTAATGCTCCCTAATATGCCCTTAGCCTTCTTGGCTACAAGGACACACTGCTGACTCATATCCAGCTTCTCATCCACTGTAACCCCCAGGTCCTTCTCTGCAGAACTGCCATTCGGTCACCAGCCTGTAACAATGCTTGGGATTCTTTTGTCCCAAGTGCAGGGCTCTGCACTTGTCCTTGTTGAACCTCATCAGATTTCTTTTGGCCCAATCCTCTAATCTGTCTAGGTCACTCTGGACTCTATCCCTGCCCTTCAATGTATCTACCAATCCCCCAGCTTAGTGTCATTTGCAAACTTGCTGAGGGTGCAATCCATCCCCTCAGCCAGGTCATTAATAAAGATATTGAACAAAACCGGTCCTAGAACTGATTCTTGGGGCACTCTGCTAGAAACCGACCGCCATCCTGACATCGAGCCATTGATCACTACCCGCTGGGCCCGTCAGTCTAGCCAGATTTCTATCCAGCTTAGAGTCCATTTATCCAATCCATATTTCCTTAACTTGCTTGCAAGAATATTCAGGGAGACTGTATCAAAAGCTTTGCTGAAGTCAAGGTATATCACATCCACTGACTTCCCCATATCCACAGAGCCAGTTACCTCATCATAGAAGCTAAGTGGGCAGGCATGACTTGCCCTTTGTGACTCCATGTTGACTATTCCTGATCACTTTCCCCTCTTCCAAGTGCTTCAAAATGGATTCCTTGAGGATCCTCTCCATCATTTTTCCAGGGACCGAGGTAAGGTTCACTGTCTATAGTTCCCTGGATTGTCCTTCTTCCCTTTTTTAAAGATGGATTTCGCCCGATCTCCACGACTTTTCAAAGATAATGGCCAAAGGCTCCTCAATGACATTTGCCAACTCCTTCAGTACCCTTGGGTGCATTAAGTCTGGACCCATGGATTTGTGTACGTTTAGTTTTTCTAAATAGTTCCTAACCTGTTCTTTACCCACCAAGGGCTGTCCATCTTCTTCCCATCTTGCGTCGCTTAGCACAGAAGTCCAGGAGCTGACTTTGTCCGTGAAGACAGAGACAAAGAAAGCATTGAGTACCTCAGCTTTTCCCACATCATCTGTCATCCAGTAAGGGCCCCATGCGCAATCTGATCACCCACTTACTGCCAACATATCCTTTTGTAACCAATTCTGCTTTTGTGCTTTCATGACTTGCAGTTACTTACAGCTGCTCTTTCTCTGCTAATAAACTTGTTTTTATGTTTTGTCCCATCCAGTGTGTTTTGACTGAAGTGGTTGGGACTCTGCTCAGGTGAACAAAGGCTGTGGCAGGATCACTTCCTTTGATTAAACAATGACTGAGTTTACATACAATGCAGCTCCTCCTCCCAGCACTGTCATGCAAGGTATAAACTGTTCAGGAAGAACAGGCGGGGGTGTAAAGGAGGAGGAGTTGCTTTGTATATAAGAGATCAGTAGGGTTGCTTGGAGCTCCAGTATATAGAGCCGGGTTTCCCAACCTATGGGTCAGAACCCAAATATGGGTCGCCATTACATTTCAAAAGGGTCGCCAGGTGTCTCCGCAAGTGGCTCTTAAAGAGCCATTCACACATTTTTGAATTGCCCTGGGTCACCAAGTCACCCTGAATTGTCAAACTGGGTCCCCATCTAGGAAAGGTTGGGAACTGCTGATCTAGAGGGAGAAAAGCCTGTTGAGAGTCTATGGGTTAAGTTTAGAGGTGGAAGCAACAGGGATGTTGTGGTTGGCGTCTGCTATAGACCATGAGAGGAGGTGGACGAGGCTTTCTTCGGACAACTGAGAGACGCTTTCAGATCACAGGCCCTGGTTCTCATGGGGGACTTTAATCACCCTGGGTACATTTACACTAGCCAACCTAGATCAATCTAGGGAGGCTAATGAGGACGACCAAAATTGCAAATCAAGCCTGGGATTTAAATATCCCGCACTTGATTTGCATGTTCCTGGTCGGTTGCCATTTTAGAAATTGACTAGCCCGGAGTAACTGCCCACATCTACACGCGATTTAAAGCCCCTAAATCGAATTAGCTGGTAAACCTCATTGCAGAAGGAATACCAGCTAATTCAAGTCAGGGCTTTAAATCGGAATCCCGTTTCACTGCCGCGTGTAGACGTGGGCAGTTACTTCGGGCTAGTCAATTTCTAAAATGGCGACCGGTCAGGAACATGCAAATCAAGTGCGGGATATTTAAATCCCAGGCTTGATTTGCAATTTTGGTCGTCCTCATTAGCCTCCCTAGATTGATCTAGGTTGGCTAGTGTAAATGTACCCAGGGTGATTAAAGTCCCCCATGAGAACCAGGGCCTGTGATCTGAAAGCGTCTCTCAGTTGTCCGAAGAAAGCCTCGTCCACCTCCTCTCATGGTCTATAGCAGACGCCAACCACAACATCCCTGTTGCTTCCACCTCTAAACTTAACCCATAGACTCTCAACAGGCTTTTCTCCCTCTAGATCAGCAGTTCCCAACCTTTCCTAGATGGGGACCCAGTTTGACAATTCAGGGTGACTTGGTGACCCAGGGCAATTCAAAAATGTGTGAATGGCTCTTTAAGAGCCACTTGCGGAGACACCTGGCGACCCTTTTGAAATGTAATGGCGACCCATATTTGGGTTCTGACCCATAGGTTGGGAAACCCGGCTCTATATACTGGAGCTCCAAGCAACCCTACTGATCTCTTATATACAAAGCAACTCCTCCTCCTTTACACCCCCGCCTGTTCTTCCTGAACAGTTTATACCTTGCATGACAGTGCTGGGAGGAGGAGCTGCATTGTATGTAAACTCAGTCATTGTTTAATCAAAGGAAGTGATCCTGCCACAGCCTTTGTTCACCTGAGCAGAGTCCCAACCACTTCAGTCAAAACACACTGGATGGGACAAAACATAAAAACAAGTTTATTAGCAGAGAAAGAGCAGCTGTAAGTAACTGCAAGTCATGAAAGCACAAAAGCAGAATTGGTTACAAAAGGAAATAAAGTGATAAAATCACAAGCAATTAGCTTTAGCAAGTCTGAGAGTTCTCAGAACAAACTGGCTGTCTCCCCATAAACTGCAGTACATTTCATAGGCTGCCTCTGCTCAGCCTGGACACTCCCCACAGGTCAGTGCTCCGGCTCTTTGTCGTCCACACAGTCATGCTTCCACATGTCCAGGTGGTAGAGGAGAGCTTGGGGACAGCCCTTGTCTCTTATTTTACACCCTCTGCCTCTGTGTGAGAGACAGATCCTGCCCACTGGGGTGCAGAGCACCAGTCTGTTCTGCACATGCAATTCAAAGCTCCTTTCAGGGGATCTGTCAATATCTTGGTGACACCTTCTGTGTTCGCGCTGTTGGAAATGTCTCTAGGGATGACACGTAAGGTCTGTTTACAGGCCCTTTGTTATTTCTAAGGACCTATTCTGTGGTCTTTCCCCAGACTCACAACATGTTTCAGGAACAGACCTATAGCAAAATCTCCTAGCTCCCAATGAGGACACATGTTACGTAGATCATTCATGAGTTTTCACAGGATCCCTTGCAAGATGTGCTTTGGTCAAACTATATGGCTGCGTCTAGCCTGGCAAGTTTTTCCGCAAAAGCAGCTGCTTTTGTGGAAAAACTTGCCAGCTGTCTACACTGGCCACTTGAATTTGCGCAAGAGCACTGACGATCTCATGTAAGATTGTCAGTGTTCTTGCGGAAATGCTATGCTGCTCCCGTTCGGGATAAAGCCCTCTTGCGCAAATGTATTTGCGCAAGAGGGCCAGTGTAGACAGCTAAAAACTGTTTTGCGCAAAAAAGCCCCGATGGCGAAAATGGCGATCGGGGCTTTCTTGCGCAAAACCACGTCTAGATTGGCACAGACGCTTTTCCGCAAAAAGTGCTTTTGTGCAAAGCGTCTGTGCCTATCTAGACGCGCTTTTCTGCAAATGCTTTTAACGGAAAAACTTTTCTGTTAAAAGCATTTGCGGAAAATCCTGCCAGTGTAGACGCAGCCTATCAGAACAGATGTGGTGCATAAGGGGGACAGCGTGTCACCACCCACACGCCTAGTGTCTGCATCCCTGGTGGTCCCCTCTCCCTGTGTTGGTCTTAGGACAACTGGCCTTGTTCCAAGGGGAGCCATGACCTGTCACCACATGGGGTGGCTATAACGCTGCAGCATGCCATGTCGTTCCCCCAGTGCCACGAGCCTGCAGGAAAGGGGCAGCAGCAGAGGGAGGCTGGTCAGTCAGTGCTTTGTGAAAGAGAGTCCTTAACTGTCATCGCATCAGTTCAGCATCATCATCCGGCCCCTGTTTGAATCCTTCAATGGCATGGTCTCCACAGCCAGCATGGAGAGCCTCCGCCAGACCTGCCTAGCTTGGCTGGATCAGCACTGCTCCCTCCCCGCACTGCGGCCCAGTATGTAGCCCCCTTTGGCCCCTGCCTGCCCTCTGCTCCCAGCTTGCAGCCCCTGCTGGTCACTGCTGAGCTGGGGAGGAGGTTGGCTCAGTGCCGTGATCAGGAGACCTGCATCGTAATGGGGGCATGGACATGGGGCTGCCTGCATGGGGGAGATGTGTCTCGGGGCCAGCTCTGGGGCTGCTCAAAGCTGCTCTGGTAATGCTCTTCCCTCTTGCCTTGGGGCCAGCAAGGGACTCACTGCCCAGCACCTGCCTGCTTCTCCTGCTCCTGATATCCTCCCTGGGGTTCAGTGACATGGAGAGTCAGGTCAGGACTGAAAGGGATGGGAGGGAGAATCTCCTGGTCTGCAGCTTCAGTGCAGAGACAGTAAAGCTTTCCCAGGCTCACCCTGCAGAGAATGGGAATGGCTGCTCGTTGCAAACCCAGAAGAAGGAGCAAAACTTGTCACATCAAAAAACTCTGTGCCACATGTGCCCCCAAGGCCAAGCCTAACAGGGTTCAACAGGGAATCGGATGAAGGTGCAGATAATAACAAGAGCCCTGCCAGGGGTCAGGAAGACACCTCATCTGGGGCAGGTTATGTCATAGCTGCCCATTAAACGGAATCTGGCACTTTCCTATACAGCAGCTGGCCCTGGCCAATGTCAGAGCTGGGGGATGGGCTAGATGGCTGGTCACAGTGCTCTGTGATGAGCAGATGAGCTGCCTGAAGCAGCTCGGAGCCCGTCAGGCAGAGGACACTGACCCGTCCCATTTGGTTTTGTCTCCCCAGCTGTCCTGAACTCTCTCCGTCAGCTGAGCATTTCCACCTCCATCCTGACTGATCCAGCCTGTGTACCTGAGCAGGCCACCCTGGCAGTGATGGGGACAGGCCCCAGCAACAACTCTTCCTAGTTAAAAGGGAGGGGGCCCTTCACACCTGGTAAGATGGTCCATTTCTGAAGAACAACTACTCGCCTTCTCTGGCAAGATGGGGGTGCAGTCTTGGTCCCGCCGTCACCTTACTGCCTCATGAGGACTGCACTCCACCATGCAGTGAGACGTCGTCAGCAAAAGGGGACAAAATCAGTGCATGATCCAAGACACCTGCTGCATGGACACATTTCACTACCCAAGATGCTGGGATAGCTCAGTGGTTTGAGCATTGGCCTGCTAAACCCAGGGTTGTGAGTTCAATCCTTACGGAGGCCATTTTGGGATTTAGGGCAAAAATTTGTCAGGGATGGTACTTGGTCCTGCTGTGAAGGCAGGGGACTGGACTCAAGGTCCCCTCCAGTTCTAGGAGATAGGCAATCTCCATTAATTTAGAAGAGCTTTGCCTTGGCAAATCTCTTACCTGAAAATAGCACCATGTAAAGCTACAGACTAACGTAATGATGGGAAATGCTGATGATCCTGGAGAACCTGGTTCCTTGAGAACAACTCCCTCCAGGCATTGACCCTGAAGGAGAGCAGAGTTGACAAAGGCTGGTGACTGTCACCAAGTGGCAGCTGAGGGACAACCCCAAATGTGAATGTGGAGAGCTTAGGCAAATGGTGGGCCCTGTCACCATCCTGTGCTCCCAAGGAGCTCTTTGAAGCTAGTGAGCAATCAGCTCTTGGCTGCGGTTTTGGAACAAGCCATGATTATAACCAGTGAGAGCACAGCTCCATGAGGCTCTGAGGCACTCAGGGTGCCCATTGACAAGAGAGGGCCTTCCCCACTCACTGTTCAGCTCTAGAGGCAGCACCCACTGGCCATGGGAGGGAATCACCAAGCCGAGGAGGAGGATTTCAGCCTTCAGCCTCATCTTCTGAAGCAAGGAAGCAACTGAACCTGGCTCTGTGCCCCCTGAGATTCAGGAGCAGGGAAGCTGCAAGAGCTGATGGAAAGCCCAGCTCAGCAGCCAGATGCTCATGCCTCATTGTCCTGCCTACCCTAGGGATGGAAGCACCCCAGAAAGCACTCATTGCCAACGATGGGGCTAACTCCTGAAGCTCTTTGTGTTTCCATGGAAGATGCCTCATGAGAAGATCAGCATCTCATTCTCACATCGTCTATTCACAAATATGGCTGCTTCCATTTACTATGCAAGGGTCTAGACTCTGGGTAACTATCTTCTAGTCTAGATGCTTCATATGGTTGCTTTAGTCTCCGGCCTGTGGTTCATAGTACCCATGTCCACACTAGGTTTGAGGGTTTACTCTGGCTGGTGGATGTTAAATTTGAAGCAGTGGTTGTTCTGGTCACATCTCTGGTGAAATCTCCACTTTCCTTGGAGTCCAGTTTGAACTCTAGAGTGAGTATATTATAAAAGCATTCTGTCAAGTATCAGAGGGGTAGCCGTGTTAGTCTGAATCTGCAAAAGCGACGAGGAGTCCTGTGGCACCTTATAGACTAACTGAAGTGTAGGAGCATAAGCTTTCGTGGGCAAAGCCCCACTTCGTCACATGCATCTGACGAAGTGGGTCTTTGCCCACGAAAGCTTATGCTCCTACACTTCAGTTAGTCTATAAGGTGCCACAGGACTCCTCGTCGCTTTTATAAAAGCATTGTCTCCTCCTGCATTTTGTTTCACTTTCCTGTAATGTCTGTGAGCAACACCACTTCTTTTCTCTCATGTTTGGAACAGCAGCTCAAAGGCTGCTGTTGGATTTTCCCTTCATAGGTGTTTCCCAAGCAAATGTTCTCTGTCTTTTAGTTTTGGGGCATACTAAGATGCTGGAGTTTCCCATGAATGTCCTTTGATGTCATGTTGCCAAAGGAACATATTCCCTGCCCAAGGTTCCTATATCCCCTGCTGTCACCTTGACTGTGTGTGCAATGGCAGATCCTCTGTGATAAAATGACTTTGTTCCTTCCCATTTTGATGGTGTGTTTCTTAAGTCTTCCAGCATTTCTAACTTCTGGAAAAACATGGAACTGAGCAACAGGCTCCATGTCCTGAGCTCAGTGTATGAACAGGGCTCCAGCTGCAAAAATTCTGCAGCAAAGGACTCCTCCTTTCCTTGGGCTCTGTAATACTCTGTTGTGTACTCAGTGGAACACTGTCAATGGATAGTTTGCAAAGGAGCAGTGCATAGGAATCCTCTATCAGCCCCAGGCAGATGTCAGGTTAATAGGACTATACAGGTGTCTGCAGCTGCTGGGCCTGAATATGATCTGGTAGGCCCAGAACTGGAGCCACAACCTGGGTAAGAAGCAGGGGAAATGTTCCCAGATTATATACATTGTGAGAGAATCACAAAACCAGGAGAAAGTTTCCACTACAGTGAAGAAGTGCTCTGGGGTCAGGCACAGACGGGGAAGCTACTCAGCTGAGTATTATCATAGAATCATAGAGCTGGAAGAGACCTCAGGAAGTCATCAAGTCCAGCCCCCTGCCCAAGGTAGGACCAATCCCATCTAAATCACCCCAGCCAGGGCTTGTCAAGCCAAGACTTAAAAACCTCCCTCAGTACCCTCAGATGCATTAAATCCAGGCCCATGGATTTGTGTATGTTTAGGTTTTTTAAATAGTTCCTAACTTGTTCTTTCCCCACCAAGGGCTGTCCACCTCTTTCCCATACTGCATTGCCTACTGCCTAGTGTCTGGGAGCTGGCCTTGTCCGTGAAGACAGAGGCAAAGAAGGCATGGAGCACTTCTCAGCTTTTCCCACATCATCTGTCACTAGGTTACCTCCATCATCCAGTAAGGGCCCCACACCCTCTCTGATCACCCTCTTACTGCTAATATGGCTGTAGAAACCTTTCTTGTTATCCTTCACATTCCTTGCTAGCTGCAATTCCAATTGTGCTTTCAGCTTCCTGATAACTCCCCTGCATTCTCGAACAATATATTTATACTCCTCCCTTGTTATCTGTCCAAGTTTCCACTTCTTGTAAGCTTCCTTTTTGTGTTTAAGCTCACCAAGGATGTCCCCAGTAAGCCAATCTAGTCGCCTACCATATTTGCTTTTCTTGCTGCGCATCGGGATGGTTTCTTCCTGTGCCTTTAATAAGGCTTCTTTAAAATATGGCCAGCTCTCCCAGACTCCTTTCCCCTTCATGTAATCATTCCAGGGAATCCTGCCCATCAGTTCTCTGAGGGAGTCAAAGTCTGCTCTTCTGAAATCCAGGGTGTGTATTTTGCTGCTCTCCTTTCTTCCTTTGGTCAGGATTCTGATCACTGCTTCCCAGGTTGTCACCCATCTCTACTTCCCCCTACTAGTTCCTCCCTGTTTGTTAGCAGCAGGTCAAGCTGTGCATTGCCCCAGGTCGGTTCCTTCAGCACTTGTTATCCCCAACATTCTCCAAGAACTTCCTGGATTGTCTGTGTACTGTGTATTGGTCTTCCAACAGATATCAGGGGGCACGTCTACACTAGCCCCCTAGATCGATCTAGGGAGGCTAATGAGGGCGACCGAAATTGCAAATCGAGCACGGGATTTAAATATCCCGCACTTGATTTGCATGTTCCTGGTCGGTTGCCATTTTAGAAATTGACTAGCCCGGAGTAACTGCCCACATCTACACGCGATTTAAAGCCCCTAAATCGAATTAGCTGGTAAACCTCATTGCAGAAGGAATACCAGCTAATTCAAGTCAGGGCTTTAAATCGGAATCCCGTTTCACTGCCGCGTGTAGACGTGGGCAGTTACTTCGGGCTAGTCAATTTCTAAAATGGCAACCGACCAGGAACATGCAAATCAAGTGCGGGATATTTAAATCCCGGGCGGCAGGGCCAGTCTCTCCGCTGTGCAGAGGGAGGACCGGCCCAGAGACAGGTTCACAGGCTCCCGCGAGGTGCTGGGATGCGAGCCCGCGCTGGCCCTCGCTCCCCGCCAAGGCGCACGCGCGCTGCAAGGACCGGCCAGCTGAACGGCTCATCCGGCGCACGCGCAAAGAGCGTCCCAATGATGACGCCTCTTACCGGACTCTGCGGGTACTGCGCTTGCGCG